TCATAACGTTGTGGAGCCGTTTGGTTAGTGCGTTGGGGCCAGCGGTCGGGAAACTCATGTATGGTTTTACGTTATACCCCGAATGATTTACAGTCGCTCCCTTTACCCCGCATTCTGCGTTCTATCACAGCTTATTACTTCTCCGCCTCGAATTAAGCATTAGGCATTTGCATTTTGGGATGTTATTTGTCTATGTTGTAATTGCCATCTAATATCGTAAGCAGTTAAAATTGTTAGGTGTGTTGTGTGTACGTGCATTGAATAAGATTTAATGCTGTAATTAACGTTGTGCATTCATTGCCATTATCAACTCTCACGTGATTTCATCTTCCTTGTTCTCATTTAGTTAGAAAGCTTCTAAAAAATAAGAATTTTGTTTAAGTATATGTTGAATCATAATATGTCTGTAAATCACACTCAAGGAATAATGTATAACACAAGAAAGAGAGAGAGAGAGATGTGCACAATATGAACAATAATTTGAATTCTTGATTAGCCTTGACTAGATAGACTTGGCTTTGTCGGTCGACTATTCTAGTTGGGTTGCGACCATTGATCCCTTGACAAGGAACTGTCGACAGAGCAATCATAGGCCATCAAGCAGAGAGTAAATTATTGTCATCCGATAGGTGGCCCGATGGCCTATCATTGCTCTGTGTGATTATGCTAAGGCTATTTCTTGTCCTCGGAAGAAGAATCTCAATGGTGTTTGTGAGGCGACTCGTGATGCTAATTTTTTCTTTGAGTTAATCGGGGCCAATGCTTCTGCTCTGCTTGATTGGACTTGGTCTTTGGTTTGAATAATCGGTATTCAACTGATCTCAAGCCCCGATTTAGGGCGGTTGTATCAAATCGAGTCGGTCCTCTGACATTTCGCTAGTAGACCCTTAGTTTTCTGTTAGCAGACCTTGATCTTCCACTAGTGAATCATTCCGCCTGTGGATCATTGGTCTTCTCATGTGGGCTCTCATTAGTCGCTCATTTGTCCTTTTGTCTGTTGTTTCTCCTTGAGATTCATGCTGATGCTTTTCCAATGTACAATATATTTTGTGAAAAAAATAGAATTATCATATTTAAGGAGTGCGGAGTTTTAATATTTATTTTATTTTATTTTATTTTTTTGTTTACAAAGTAGGTGTTGTTTATTGTACGTAAAAAATGTGTTTATAGTGTTAAGTCTGAATTTATATTATTTTTCTGCATTCATTGCCATTATCAACTCTCACGTGATTTCAGCTTCCTTGTTCTCATTTAGTTAGAAAGCTTCTAAACAATAAGATTTTTGTTTAATTATATGTTGAATCCTAATATGTCTGTAAATCACACTCAATGAATAGTGTATAAGACAAGAAAGAGAGAGAGAGAGAGCGAGATGCACAATATGAACATTAATTTGAATTCTTGATTAGCCTTGACTAGATAGACTTGGCTTTGTCGGTCGACTATTCTAGTTGGGTTGCGACCATTGATCCCTTGACAAGGAACTGTCGACAGAGCAATCATAGGCCATCAAGCAGAGAGTAAATTATTGTCATCCGATAGGTGGCCCGATGGCCTATCATTGCTCTGTGTGATTATGCTAAGGCTATTTCTTGTCCTCGGAAGAAGAATCTCAATGGTGTTTGTGAGGCGACTCGTGATGCTAATTTTTTCTTTGAGTTAATCGGGGCCAATGCTTCTGCTCTGCTTGATTGGACTTGGTCTTTGGTTTGAATAATCGGTATTCAACTGATCTCAAGCCCCGATTTAGGGCGGTTGTATCAAATCGAGTCGGTCCTCTGACATTTCGCTAGTAGACCCTTAGTTTTCTGTTAGCAGACCTTGATCTTCCACTAGTGAATCATTCCGCCTGTGGATCATTGGTCTTCTCATGTGGGCTCTCATTAGTCGCTCATTTGTCCTTTTGTCTGTTGTTTCTCCTTGAGATTCATGCTGATGCTTTTCCAATGTACAATATATTTTGTGAAAAAAATAAAATTATCATATTTAAGGAGTGCGGAGTTTTAATATTTATTTATTTATTTTTCGTTTACAAAGTAGGTGTTGTTTATTGTACGTAAATAATGTGTTTATGGTGTTAAGTTTGAATTTATATCATTTTTTTCCTTATAAATTATGCAGCACAAAAATTAGAGGATAG